TGGGAAACAACAATTAGTGTCCGATACAACCAACAACATAATCCAACATGATAAAGAAGTAAAACTAACCAAAAAGGGTTAATAAATAAACCTAACCCAAAAATGACCCCAAATAAACATCTTCTCTGTGTATTTATCGTAATTAACGATGTTGAATTCGTAAACGAGGATCAGTGAATAGAGCTATCGAAACCAAAATGGCAACGGCTCGCACTAATAAGTTCTTTACATAGCCTTATCTAGCCCTTCTAAAAGTTACTTATTTGCTCCCAGATAAGACTTAACATTTAGACGAACAGACTTAGATGAAAAAACTTTGGAACGAAAATACTTGGAAGAAAAGACTATTGGACAAAAAGACCGTAATTCGGTTAAAAGTATTAGTGTATTGGCACTGCAAACGAAAGAAAGAAATGGTTTGGTCCATGAACCGCCTAGGATCCAACGATCATAATTCAAATATCTAAGGTAACCATAGCCATAACGTGTCTCTAACACATCAACTCAGAACCGGAAAGAAGTGCAAAGCCTTCTAGAAGTGCCTGAATATTATCACAGGATCAGTCTTAACTTCCCACGGCAGTGAGGAGCGTAATATAAATGAGCTACAGTGTAAGCAACATGAAAATTAGAAAAAGCCGCAACAAACTCTAGGAAGCACCTCCACCAGGGTCATCTTAGGACGGTAGAGAGAATTTTAGGGGGGCAATACAATGTTATTAAGGTTAAAATGGTTCCATTCCTTCCATTTCTCCTATCTAGTGTTTAGGTGCACGGAGGTGGGCTGTAGCTAGGGAGACCCTATATCGCTCAAGATATTAGAAGCCCCTTTCCTCCTTCTCACCCTAGGTTGCACATCCTTTACTGTCCCATTGTTTCATCTAAATAAGATCACGTGCGATTTTAACTTTATTAATATCTTAAAAAACAGAATAATTTAGCATTTTCATTCATTGCGTTAAAACATTTGATCATTCGTTGGGTTAAAATTTAAAATAAAATTTAGAACATTCATTGGGTTACAAAAAAATAAGGAAAAATAGAAATTACTCAATTGTTCTGTGGTATGCCAAAATGTGCCAATTTTCGCAGCTCAGTGGTGGTGAAGATTGTGAAGTTTATCGTGTGCATGCAACGTCTTCAAGAAAGGTGGTAAGACCTGGGAAGCCATTGCCTCAGTGTCAAGCTTACAAAGTTCGTCGAAGAAGTGGCTAATCCAAACTGTTCTTGTTGCCGAGGTATCAAGGGGTAGTCATGTGACCCAAATGGGAAAACTCAACTGGATATGTATGGAAGTGATCCTCGCAGTTATAAACCCTACTTATGTACTTATGATTACAACTGGTCACTTACCTCACACATAATTAGTGACTTTGAGAAACTATTGATCGAAGATATTGAAAGCTTTTATTTGGGTCTACTTACAGGAGTAATATACTTAAGGATGACAGTTACTGAGTGTGAAGAATGTCACTTGGCATGGGAGGCTAACTATAGGAATGCTGAGCATGGAGATCAAAGCATAAATTGCTAGAAAGGAACTAAGAAGGGGGTCTATTTTTAGAGATTTGAACATTGAGATCATAGGCATGGATTGCCAGGGAAGACCTTTGCAGGGAACACTGTCTACAGGGTGCTGAACACAGAAATCATATGCATTAATTGCCAGGGAAGAACCAATAACACGGGACAATATTTATAACGTACAGAATACAGATCACAAGCATGATATGCCAGGGAAGAATTTTACAAGGAACACTATCTATGGGGTACTAAACATAGAAATTATTGGCGTGAATTTTCAAGGAAGAACTTAACACGGGTCTATCTATATGGTACTGAACGAAGAGATAATAAACATGATTTTCCAGGGAAGAACTTTACAGGGAAACCCCAATCTATATGGTGCTGAACATAGTTGTGAGTTGAGGGTGTTATAATCATGTGAATTTGATAATTTCTTTTCCCTGACTATTAACATGCCCTTTACCCTTTATCAAAATTGTTACCATTTTATGCTGCTTCTCCAAAAAGAAAGAAAACATCTATACATGTTGCAATATACAAAATGTTCTGAAATGAAGTGGCAAATATCAAATCAATTGAAATTAATTAGGTACACACCATTCTTTGTCTTGAATGTGAAGACCTCTGGCTCGCCCTCTCCATGTTTATTGAAGGGAAAGAGTTTCCCTTCATACTCTGAGTTATACTCAAGATTGGTAAATTGGAAGTGAGTTTCATCAATGTTTCCTTGTTGAAAAAGTTTGCTGGATCCTGTCAAGTGTTTCTTTTTCCATTCCAGACGGAATTTAGGGCTGACATCAGAGCAGCTAGTATTTGGTGCTAGCCAAGTTAGAGTGAAATTCACATCAACCTCACCTTTGACCTTTTGGATGGTTGGTTTTTCAGGCAAACCTTTGAAAATTATTGAATCAGGATTTTTAATTCCTACTTCTAATGGAAGCAACTGTCGCAATATAACTTTGAGGTAAGTAAAACCATATTGTTGTAAGACCGGGGCTGAGCTATTCCCTTAATGTCAAGCTTACAAAGTTCGTCCAAGAAGTGGCTAATCCAAACTGTTCTTCTTACCGAGGTATCAAGGGGCATTCATGTGACCCAAATGGGAAAACACAACTGGATATGTATATATGGAAGGAATCCTCGTAGTTATAAACCCTACTTATGTACTTATGATTACAACTGGTCACTTACCTCACACATAATTAGTGACTTTGAGAAACTATTGATCGAAGATATTGAAAGCTTTTATTTGGGTCTACTTACAGGAGTAATATACTTAAGGATGACAGTTACTGAGTGTCAAGATTTTCACTTGGCATGGGAGGCTAACTATAGGAATGCTGAGCATGGAGATCAAAGCATAGATTGCTAGGAAGGAACTAAGCAGGGGGGGGGGGGCTAAATTCTAAATTCAGGGATTTCAACATGGAGATCATAGGCATGGATTGCCAGGGAAGACCTTTGCAGGGAACTGTCTTCAGGGTGCTGAGCACAGAAATCATAGGCATTAATTGCCAGGGAAGAACTAATAACACGGGACAATATTTATAAGGTGCGGAATAAAGATCAAGGGCATGATATGCCGGGGAAGAATTTTACAGGGGACTCTATCTATGTAGTACTGAACATAGAGATTATTGGCATGAATTTCCAGGGAAGAACTTTACAGGGAACTATCTATAGAGTACTGAACAAAGAGATGATAAGCATGAATTGCCGGGGAAGAACTTAAACAGGGGGTCCCCAATCTATAGGATGCTGAACATAGTTGTGAGTCGAGGGTCTCGGAATCACGTGTAGTAGATAATTTCTTTTCCCTGACTATTAACATGCCCCTACCCTTTATTGAAATTGTTACCATTTTATGTTGCTTCTCCAAAAAGAAAGAAAGCATCCAGACATGTCACAATATACAAAAAGTTCTGAAATGAAGTGGTAAATGTCAAATCAAATGAAATAAATTAGGTACATACCAGTCTTTGTCTTAAATGTTATGACCTCTGGCTCGCTTTCTCCATGTTTATTGACGGCAAAGAGTTTCACTTCATACTCTGAGTTGTACTCAAGATCGGTAATTTTGAATTGAGTTCCATCAGTGCTTCCTTTTCGACAAAGTTTGCTGGATCCTGTCAAGTGTTTCTTCCACAATTCCACACGGTATTCAGGGCTGACATCATTGCAGCTTGTATTTGGTGCTAGCCAAGTTAGTGTGAACCCCACATCTTTCTCATATTTGTCCTTTGGGATGACTGGTTTTTCAGGGAACCCTTTGAAAATATTATAGAATCAGGATTTGTAATTTCTACTGATGATGGAAGCAACTGTTACAACATATCTTTAAGATAATTATAACCATAATGTAATACATTGAGTGTTTATCTTAAATGGTCGTCTTTTTAAAAAGTAATATCCATGCAAAACTATCCATTAGAATCATGACATTTAGACTGAACAAGAGTTACATCATGTACACTTTCTATGCTCCTTCAACCCTTTGTATCACTTTGCCCTGCATCTCATACACCTTTAATTTGATAGGCCAGGGAAGAATTTTACAGAGGACACTATCTTTGGGGTAATGAATACAGATATGATTCGCATAAAATTCCAGGGAAGAACTCTACAGGGGACTATCTATAGGGTACTTAACAAAGAGATGATAAGCATGAATTGCCAGGGAAGAACTTAAACAAGGGGGCCCCAATCTATAGGATGCTGAACATAGTTGTGAGTCGAGGGTCTCAGAATCATGTGTAGTACATAATTTCTTTTCCCTGACTATTAACATGCCCCCTACCCTTTGTTGAAATTATTGCCATTTTATGTTCCTTCTCCAAAAAGAAAGAAGTCATACCTACATGTTACAGTATACAAAAAGGTTTGAAATGAAGTGGCAAACGTCAAATCAAATGAAATAAATCAGGTACATACCAGTGTTTGTCTTAAATGTTACGACCTCTTGCTCGCTTTCTCCATGTTTATTGACGGTAAAGAGTTTCACTTCATACTCTGAGTTATACTCAAGATCGGTAGTTTTGAATTGAGTTCCATCAGTCCTTCCTTGTTGACAAAGTTTGCTGGATCCTGTCAAGTGTTTTTTCCACAATTCCACGCGGTATTCAGGGCTAACATTAGTGAATTTCGTATTTGGTGCTAACCAAGTTAGAGTGAACTTCACATCTTTCTCGTCTTTGTCGTCTTGGATGGTTGGTTTTTCAGGCAAACCTTTGAAAATTATTGAACCAGGATTTGTAATTCCTACTTCTGAAGGAAGTAACTATTGCAATATCTTTGAGGTAATTATAACCATAAAATAATACATGGAGTATTTATCTTAAATGATCATCTCTTCATAAATATAATTATATCTATGCAAAACTATCCATTAGAATCATGACATTAAGACTGAACAAAAGAGTTACATCACGTGCACTTTCTATGCTCCTTCAATCCTTTCCATCGCTTTGCTCTCATCTCATGCACCTTAGTTAATTTGATTAGCCGTTAGATGATTCTTCCTTTCTTAATTCTGCGCAATTCCTCGTGTCTGGGCTACTAATGATCAATGTACACCACAATTCAACTCACCTAAGATGTCTTCTACTCTTGATTTCTTGAACCAAACTGGATGAAATGTGAGCTGCTGCTCATTGACCTCAAAGTTTAGAATTCCAACTGCTTTTAAATTAGTGTTCCTCTCACCTTCCAGTAAGACAGTCGAGCAACACTCTGCATGGCTGGGTAGGCAACTACCATCTTTTTTAGGAACAAGTTTCTCAAGCATGTATTTGAATCGATTACTTTCAATATAACAGAACAGAGGTTTGCTTTCCTTTACACCTATCTTAGGTTCAAGATCCTATAAGATACTGCTATGCTTGTGTCTAAATCGGCCATGGTTTAGGTCTGAACACTCAGAATCAACAAAAATCACAACCAATCCAGAGGTGTCATAAAGTGGATTCTTCTTGATGATACCTTCCAATTGAAAACATTTCAGTTTTGAATTTGGTTTTGTAAACTCCACTTGATATTTCTCAGCATCAAAGTTCTCTTTTGGAATGAGTTTGCAACTTGTTATGATAAAGTACTCACTCCAATCAGGGTTTTGGACCTTAGGCTCATAAATTAAACACCCCCAGCCAACAGCTCCATCTTGACG